GCTCACCGCAACCTCCGCCTCCTGAGTTCAGGCAATTCTCCTGCCTCAGCCTCCTGAGTAGCTGGGATTACAGGCACGTGCCACCATGCCCAGCTAATTTTTTTTTGTATTTTTTTAGTAGAGACGGGGTTTCACCACGTTGACCAGGATGGTCTCGATCTCTTGACCTCGTGATCCACCCGCCTCGGCCTCCCAAAGTGCTGGGATTACAGGCTTGAGCCACCGCGCCCGGCCTTACCAGACACTTTTAAAACCATGAGATCTCATGAGAACTTCCTCACTATTGTGAGAGCAGCATGGGGGAAATCACCCCCATGATCCAATCACCTTCTATCAGTTCCCTCCCTCCACATATTAGGATTACAAGATGAGATTTGGATGGGGACACAGAGCCAAACCATATCACATGAAGAGGTCCCATGTCCAAGAAGGGTCAGGACACTTTGTGGCATTCTGAACTGTCATCCAGACAGAACAACCCAGCCATACAGGGCTGTTGCCACCCAGGGCCTATAGATTCTTTTTTTTTGGGGAGGGGGGCGGGGGACAGGTTCTTGCTCTCTCACTCAGGCAGGAGTGCAGTGATGTGATCATGGCTCACTGTAGCCTCTAACTCCCAGCGACCCTCTTGCTTCAGTGTCCCAAGTAACTGGGACTATAGGCATGTACCACCATGCCTGGCTAATTTTTGTGTTCTGTTGTAGAGACGGGGTCTTGCTCTGTTGCCCAGGCTGGTCATGAACTGGGCTCAAGCGGTTCTCTTGCCTCAGCTTCCCAAAGTGCTAGGATTACAGGTGTGGGCCACTGTACCTGGCCCTGCAAGCTTGTCAATGATGCTTGTGGAGTGGCGGGCACTGTCTGCTGTGTTGTGACTCTTAAGTTTCTCCTAGAAAATGATTAAACTCATGTTTATCAGTATTAAGGCTTGCTTTTAATTGTTTTCTCAACAGTTTTCAAAGCAGGGCCCTGAAACTTCCAGATTCTGCAAAGGTCTAGACCACTATTTTTCCATCTCTTTAGTCAAGAGGCCTGTGGGTTATTCCTATTCTTTGGGGTCTCCTGTGACATTATTTGGTAAAATGGCTGTTTAAGTCACTGTGGCCCACCTCATCTTTCCACTGCACCTACCACAGTCATCTCCTCCTGGCCTCCAGAGTGCTTACCCCCACACTAAGTGCGATGTCACCTCTGCCTGCCTGCCAGTCCCCACTGCAGCATACATCATCTTTTTCTGTTTCTTGAACTGGTGGAAATAGAAAAAGGCGGTTGGAAGAGAACCAGACAGAAAGGGTAGCACAAGTGACGTTTGTGGTCCTTGGGACCCCAAGATAGAGAGTAGGGTTGGAGGATACTAGAGCAGGCACTCCTAAATTTGAGCTTTATCTTCATGTGGATGAACCCTCAGGGTGTTGTTTGTGGAAGAACTTCGATTTGCAGTGACTTGGGGGGGTTGGCATAGCCTAGAGACGGTGACGTGGCTCATGCTCTCTCATCTGCTCCTTTCAATTCTGTGTGATAAGAGGGCATGGGACAAGGATGGGATTTGAGAAGTCTCTGGCTCAAGGAGTGAGAGCTTCATCCCTCCTCCAGCAAAGGCCTGCCTCTTGGTTGATGATGCTATGGCCCCTCCCTTGTAGCAAGCTTGCTTTCTTTTCTGCCAGCATGGCCACCCAGGCCTCCACCTGCATCCTGTGAATGTTGTCGTGTGTGCCATGGCCAGACCAGCTGTGTGTTTTTACACTCACAAGTGCACCTATCACTAGCAGAGGAGGGAAGGGTGTGGGAATGATAGTCCCATTGCTCTTAATTAGTCCCAGGGAATATAGACCCATGATTTGCCAACACTAACTAGGTTTTGCATCCACACAAGTTAGAATGTCCATCTGGCATGAAATCATTATATCAGTCCTGTAACTGATACTGTATATCTCATATGTGTTTCTTGCTTTTGTCATTCCAGGTTTGCCCTTGCATCTCATTTCCTCTGGGGACTTTGGTCCATTGTACAAGCCAAGATTTCATCTATTGAATTTGGGTACATGGTATGTTTTAGCAGCTTTTTTTCCCTTCCTACTCTCAGGAAAAAATGCTACAGTATTTGTGAATGCTCCACAGCAAATGACCGTTCCTTATAGAGGGTTCTCTGTCTCCCCATGTACCTGAATGTGATAACCTGGTGGCACCAGGGCAGTGTGGCTCAGCCCAGGAAGCTGTGGGAGAAGCCGCTCTCACTAATGCTGTGGTTGTCTTTGGAGGTTGCCCTCACTTCCAGGACAGCAGACCCCTGCCTCTCCTGCTTCAGAGAAGTGCCAGGTGGTCCTCCAGTCCCGCAGTGGAGAATGTAGGCATTTGCACCCTAGAGGTCCAGCACTGAGCTCAGTCCTTTCTGACACGGGATAGTAAGTGAAGAAGAGTGGGTGGCTCTTGCCCGTGCTGTGGAGGGTTTTATTTATCGGTTACCACTTAATTCTCCAGCCTGTAGTGCCCGACTTCGAGTTGGAAGCTGGTAATTACTAAATTTGACCTCCTGTTTTTCGCAGGCATGTTTTTTGTAAACAAGCTAGGCTATCATTTTTTTCTAACTTTAAGAACTGTCAGCCGGGTGCAATGGCTAACACCTGTAATCCCAGCACTTTGGGAAGCTGAGGTGGGTAGATCACCTGAGGTCAGGAGTTGGAGAGAAACCTCGTCTCTACTAAAAATACAAAAATTGGCCATGTGTGGTGGTGGGCACCTGTAATCTCAGCTACTCGGGAAGCTGAGGCAGGAGAATTCCTTGAACCCGGGAGGTGGAGGTTTCAGTGAGCTAAGATCATGCCAGTGCACTCAGCCTGGGCGACAGAGCAAGATTCTGTCTCAAAA